TGGGGGGAGGGGGGGGGCAACACAGCAACTTCAGCATCACCATACACATGGTTCCTTTTTCTCAATATGAAGTTTCTTTCAGTTCTGTATAAAGGCTAGTTTACTCTTAGAAAAATCAGAAACAGGGCATCTTAAAGAAAACCAACTTCTAAAACTAAAAATTAATTGAAATAAAAATTATATATTAATGAGATAAAATTTCATTCTTAACTGTAGTAATTATAATTAAAGCAATATTTAATGGTAACCATACTTTCTGGTGAACTCTAGAAAATTTCTAAATTCTGGTATTCAGACAAAAATTCAGAAATCTTAACTATTTTTCATACAAAATCAAAGAAATTTAAAATACCAAAAATTCTCACCTGTGTTTTGATTGTGATCGTTTCCTTCTAGAATGGGATTTTGAGCTAGACCTGGATTTTGAACGAGTATGGGAACGAGATCGGCCGCCTTTTCTTTCATTGCTCTTTCCAGACTCTGGGAGGAAAAAACCACTTTGCAGTGTAAGCTCAGAACAATTAAAGATCCCAGTTAATAATCAGGCACAAGTGGAATGTACCACACATAGTGCAAGGGGCCTACTCTCTGCACATCCTCCTCCTGTGCAATTATCCTTCAGAAACATCCAAGAAAGTCATTGCAAAAACTCGTTGAGTGCAGCCACCCTGCAGCAGTACATATAAACCAGATGGTTATAAACAGCTGTTCGTAGTAGTTTGTTGCTGCCATAATGTACGATTATAACATGTCTGTAATTCCTATAACAGTGATTTTAAATCCTTCTCCATTTATTTTGCTAGAATTGAGGCTTAAATTCTGAGTACTGATTTCGAAAATTTGCTAAAATGTAAACCATCTAGACATTTTTAGATTGGATTTTTAAGTTTTAGTTAGCAACACAGAAGTTTGAAGAGGTTGGCGGTTCTTTTTCAACTTGCTAAGAGTGTATTTTTCCTAAATCATGGACTCTCTTTTTTATTTTTTAAAATTAAAACTTTGATGAAAAGTGAGTCTGCTTAAGCATATTTTAAATATATTTATTCTTGTTTTTAGCCTCACAATAACATTTATACTTTGCTTTAAGCAAATCAGTTTTGAGCACTAATTTTGCTCTTAAAGTATAAAACACTGATTAACTCAGGCTAATGGGCCTCAATTCAGTATCACGGGAAAAGAATGTGCTAAGTACTTCTTTGACCTTTGACATCAGTAAATCACTTACTCCTTCTTGAGTTTCAGTCTTCTTGTTTGTAAAATGAAGGGACTGAACAAGATAATTTCTAAAATTCCTTGCAGCTCTAAGATTCTATGCTCTTAAGCTATGACCTATGTAACAACACTGTGGCCTTACCTGGTTCAATAGCTGCTGAGATAAATGACTGAGCCTCTCGTACCCGCTTCATTACTTCTTCTAACTCCTTAGCTGCAGCCTGAGGTGTCATCTCAGGGGGTTTTACTATTGCATTGTTGGAGTGATTTATTCTAAATTAAAAACATTAGCGTATCACAAATACACACCATCTTTTACAAGACATGAAACAGTTGTTTACATGATACATATATTTATAAATCAATGTCTTGAAAGCACATTAAGAGTAATATAGCTAAATACAGAACAATCAAAACCAACCTCAAAACCATGATGAATATCATTTCTACCTGCCATCATCTCTTGCTAACAAAGCCAAAAGCAAGAGAAAAAAAGAAACTGAACGAGAGCTGACTTCTTTAACAACTTGAATAGACCAGGACACCTGCTTTCCCCAAACAGCTTAGAATTATAATAAATTAAAATGTCTACACCAATATTAAAATCAATCACTGCTATTCTTAGATTATAAGATTTTTGTTGATAGCCTCTGCACCCAAGAAGAGGAAGGGAAACTATGCATTCTGTACACCCTTTTAATCACCTCTGGACCATGGCTGAGTCAGACACAGCTTTGAATGTGGGAGGAATTTGATCAAGCTCTTTCTCTACTAGGTAAGAGTGGTTTCTCCGATGCACATCAATGAATTTCTTCTGTCTCACTTACCCCTTCCATAATGAGAAGACAAGCATTCACTAGGAACAGTTACTTATCCTTTAATAGCAGAATCCTGATCAAACTGTTTAACTAAGGCAACTGCCTATGAAATTCAGATGAAACTGTTAACCTTAATAATCTCATGAAATAAAGTATCTGACAGGCTACATCAATTTCTCATTTTGCAAACAAAGATGTGAGCCAACCTTAAAACTCAAAATACGTGGTTTAAATCATTTCTGAGTACTTAATATTATTTTCTTCATGGGATTTTGGATTTACCAAAATTCTTATTACTGTATTATTAAAGTTCAACCTATCTGTTAATTGTCCATTAGTCTCGTCATAATGCAATGCCAACCTGACTTGTTAAAGCTTATGGAAAAAGACCTATGATCATTATGTAGGGTATATAAACAACATTAACATTAAATTAGACCTTATAAAATAAAAAATAAGATGTCTTCAAATACAACCGTAAAGGTTAAAATAAATATCTCAGGTATTCATTTATACTTAACACAAAGTCTTCCTTTCCACAAATTGCCAATTACTATTAAAAAGAAAAAAAAAAGCCTTAATTACATAAAAAATACTTTAAAGTTTTTCAAAATCATTAAAATTTCTTTGTTTAGGGTTTCTTACTTCAGTGGCCTGTCTCCAAACATAACTCCATTAAAAGCAAGGGCCCTTGGTACAGAATTTTGGTCTGCAAATTCCACAAAAGCAAACCGAGTTGGCTGAGTCTCATCACCTGCCATCCGCACAAACTTCACTTCTCCAACTTGTTTAAAAAATTCAAGTAGCTGATCAGCTGTCGTTGTCTGAAAAAACAAAGTAATTATTTTAATAAAGTATATTCTTTCTTAAAAAAATCAGGTAAATATTACTTTATCAATCTATATGATTTTTAAGAAGGGGAAAGATTCAGTTTCTTCATTACCTGGGAATTCAAATTGCCAACATAGACTGTTCTCCTGATTTCATCAATTTTGGAAGGATCCACATTTCCCATAAGTGGTGGCTGTGGTATCTCTCCAAGTGTTGCAATATTGGGGTCTAGTGCTGCTGCTGGTATAGCTCCCAAACTGCTAAGGGAAACACCCAGCTATTAAAAATAAAAAGGAAAAAAAAGATTTTGTTAGTATCAAAAATTACCATTCTTCTAATCGTGAAAAGAATTGATCAACTCAACAAGACTGGGAAGAAACCAGGGGTTCCTAACTTTAAGCCAGGTATATGTCTGAATTATTGAGAGTGAGTTCATAGTAATTTTGAATGTAATGAGAAATTCAACATTATTTCTTAACTATCTGGATATTTTACCCACTTTTAAACTTAACACTAAAACCAGTCAATTCTCATTATTTGCAGTAGTTACTACGTCCTAAAAGTTGCCACAAACAATTATTGAATAACAAATCATTGCTCACAGGGAAAGTACAAGCTAGGTTCCTACAAGCCTCTAGTCACAATATTTTCATCAACCAACACATAACCTTGTTTTATGTTGTGTTTCTGTTTAAAGAAACCTTACTTAATATATATTGTTGATTCATTAATACTGAACTCACAGCCAGAAGCACTATCAACTCATTCCTGAATGAACCCTAACACATATTTTCTCTTTAAGGCACATCACAGCCTTCTAGCCCTAAGAAATACTAGACAGCACTTTAGCACTACGCTTGGGGGCTAACTTAAACAGTGAAATCACTAACAAAAGGTACAAAATGTGAAAAACATGGCACTAAACAGACCACAAAAAAAGACACTTATTTATAGGCATACCCTGGAGATATTAGTTTCAATTCCAGGCTACCACATGAAGTGAGTTGTAATCTTTTTGCTAGTGAAGGGTCTTGCTTTCAATTTGTTAAAAACAAAACAACAAAACACCACCACCACATCTGTGAAACGCAATAAAGCACGATGCAAATACAGTCCACTTGTACAGCAGTAGATCTAAAACAGAGTGGTGCTGACTTCATCCGGGAGCGTACATATCACACAACTCAAGTTTATCATCACTCTGTGTGTGTCAGTGAAGGACCGCAAAAGCACCCCAAGTACTGATTTTGAGCTTTCAAATAAATTTTAGCTAGTGAGTGAATTCAAAAACAATGAGAAAGAACTGTATCTTGGACATTCACCAACACTGACTGTGTTAACAGTTAACAATACCACTGCACCTAATTTTTACTGGATTATTTATTTAAATCAGTCTTGATTTCAGAGAGAGGAAGGGAAAGAAAAACAACAATGATGAGAGTCATGGATCGGCTGCCTCCCACATGCCCCTGACTGGGGATCGAACCCGCAACTTGGGCATGTGCCCTGACTGGGAACTGAACCATGATCTACTGGATCATAGGTCGATGCTCAACGGCTGAATCATGCTGGCTGGGCTCAGTTTATATTTTTAAAATAAATGTAGTCCTCATGAACTGGGAAATATCCTTACCTAGGTTCTCCAATTCACCATGCTATCTAAAATGCTTAGTTTTAATAACTGATTTACTAGTGAATTTTAGTCCTCAAATTTAAATGACTCTCACCCGTCCGGGCATGGCTCAGTGGCTGAGCGTCAACCTGGGATCTAGGCGATTGGAGTTTGATTCCCGGTCAGGGCACATGCCTGGGTTGTGGGCTTGATCCCTAGTCAGGGGCGTGCAGGAGGCAGCCGATCAATGACTCTCTCATCATTGATGTTTCTATCTCTCCCTCTCCTTTCCTCTCTCTGAAATCAATAAAGGTATTTTTTAAAAATATAAAAAATAAAAATAAATAAGTGACTCTCCAATTACTTCAGAATTCTAAAAGATCGTTGAAGTCAGTGAAAACTGGAGGGGGAAAAATTAAGTAGACATTTCAGATCCTCTCTATTTTAAAAAAAAAGATTCAAAATAAAAAATTTCTAAGCTCTTTCTTCAACTGATTACACAGTTGAACATTCATCCCTTTTAGAAGACGGTATAGTACTTACTGTAGTCAAGGGATTTGGGGTCGGTATGGGAAGCAAGCCTGCACCAGGCATCAGACTTGTCATGGTTGGAGCAGGAACCAATAAAGAGAGGGCTTTGGATTCCTCTGGGATTTTACCTGCAGAGGCAAGTTTCAAACATTACAGAAAGCAGAAACACCACACAAACTTTACACTATGATTTTACAATTACCCTTGTACTTAAAAAATAATAATAATAAATGAATCTATCTATCAGATCCGTATAAAGAAATAAATTACAACTTAAGTCTTTCCTTTTATCCTGCTCTACTAGGAAAAATAAAAGTGAGCAAAATTTCAAAGACTAACAATCTCATTAATGGAATATTATTTTAAAAATTGAATAATGTAGACAATTATTTAACACTTTGAGCTATGGGTCACCTGTACTGGAAACTTAATGTTCATGAACCAAACGATATCAAGCATGGACGCTTTCCCAGGACGGTGTTTTCGCGGTGATCGAAAGTTGTGTTACACATGACAACCGTTCGTGTTGGCTGCATCACTAATAGCACACAGAACATCAGATACAGAAAAGAAGAACATTTTTTAAAGTTTAATCCCCAGAAATGGCAAATAACCAAATTAGTCAAAAAAAAGAAAAAGAAAAAACAAATATGTGCGAATTGAAATTTGTTCCTTACTGAGTGCCCCTATCCTGTTATCAAAACTACCTACTTGTGATGCAAACAATTTTGATAACCCTTTCAATAAATTCCATTTAATTTCAAGTAGACAGGAAGAAACAAAAACCTACTGCATGTAATCAGCTTCAGTTTAAAATGAAGCTTACACCCATTCAGTTAATAAGGCACCTCACCAACAATGTCAGAAATGCTCCAAAAAAATCAAGGTCCAAAGAATATGCTTTGGGAAACTGCTAAAAAATTTTTAGAGTAACTAACAAAAAGTTCCCTAATCTCAGGAAACTTTTTAAACCATTGACTTTTAGAACCAATTTATGTATACTTATCTGAAGATGAGCAGCTGATGCCTAAATGTGTTGCTTATAAACATCTTCTAATAACAGTAACACTAAAATAATCTTAGACCATAAGAAAAAAATTCCTACGACTAAAAACTGAAAAGTTTATTCTGATATAAGTCTATTAATTTGTCATATTTAATTATTAAATTCTAATCAATTAATTTTAATAAGAACTTCAACTTTCATGCATTTTTCCTGGTACTCTCTTACACCCCTTCCCAAAATTATTTCTAAAGAAGTTGACTATATATAGCTATTTTAGAAGAACTACTCATAATTAGCTAGCTATACATTTCCATTATGAATTCTTCAAAAGTAATTTAAAACACAGTGCACATATCATGCTAACCTGAAAATAGCACATGGAGTAAATTGCTGGGTTTTACTGGTAAAAACTCTATTTAAAACAACCAGATACGCAAAGATAAACCTCTAAACAATGTTATCTAAACATATCTCTAAACATGAATGGAATTCAAAATGGATTTTAAAACTTGCCTTAAATAATGGTCAAACCTTATTTATAGGAACAAAGTATATTACTTTAATCTACTAATTTCAAAAACAAAGTTATTTTATTATTTCAGTGTAAATTCTGCATAAGCACAGATTTTTTTAACATGCATAAAGAAATGAAAGGTAGGTAGGCCTTAATGGAAACATCAAATAACAATTTATTTTATATTTAATAGTTATGAGTATTAACACATGTATCTGTATACCCACAAATATACTATACTATTTATATTGCCATTAGACCTATTTTGTTATAAATAGGAATTATTTTTTAAATGTTTGCAAAACCTGAACACATCTTGATAAATCAAATGAAGTCCTAAGGTACAAACCCTGTGCTTTGCTACCCTAATGTATACAGCTAAAAAAAAACAAATTGAGAGTTCCAATCTAGAAAAGTCCCAATTTAATATTATTTTCAATTAAATAAGCCAAATTATCCATATAAGAGATTGTAGAAAGACTATTCAAACAAAAAGGGTATTCAACACAGGCCAAACGTTGAATACTTAATATTATAAAGCCTTTCACTTTTGACTTAAAAAAAGAAAACGCATCAGTAGATTGTCAGACTTACTGCCTCACAGTAGTAAACAATAATATCAAGTCTAAGTGTAAGCACACTATTTTTTCTTATTCTAATTACTATTAAAGATACTTCAAGATAGAAGTTCCATTACTTAATTTCCAAAACAGAATTCTATCAAACTTACCCTTTAAATGCTATCAGTATATAAAAGTATAAAACAAATAAGCATTGAGCATTTTTCCCAAATTATACTCAATGACAACTGAGATAACAATGTTTCTCACAGTATTAAAGTAGTAGTCCTAAATCTCAGAATCCATTTTGAAGCTAGTAACCTCTGAATAGTTCTCAACAAAAAATTCAAGCAAACAGAGAAACACATACACAAGTATTCAACAGTTTCTCAAATATCCATTCCCCTCATAGGAAACTAGTCTTTATAAGTCAAGGAAATGTTATTTTCTAAAATGAGTAACTATCATAAAAGTCTCTTTGTATCCTCTACCCCAAAACTGTTATAAGAAATTTACTTACTTTCCCTGATTCTCTATGCCTAAAATTCTAGGGGGAAGGATGCTATCAGTTGGTTTTTACAGGAGATGTAGACTTGGAAGAAAAACTGCAAAAATGTTGCACTGAGATCAGAAAATGTTTCTAATAATCTTATCAGTGTTTCAACAACAAAATGTACCTGATCAGTCTATAAACACCAATTAGTGTTCCCACTGAGACTCCTAACACTGTATCCTAATTTACTGTGAAAATTTATTTTATCTTAAGGTTGAGCTCTGCTGATCATCTCTCCATATATTTTGCAATGCAATGTTATGAACCCTTAATGGAATACCATTTACTAAGAACTGGAAAACCAGCTCACAAGTTAAAGTGAAAGAGATTTAACAAAACAAAAACAAAAAAGGGACAAAATAAAAAAAAAGAAATGAAATTAAAATAAAACAATAAAAAAACAGAGACAGGGCGTCCATCTTCTGCGGTTCAGACTCCGATCTCATTTCCCCAATGAAGGTTTCACTTGACGGCAGGTTTAGTGGCATGGCAAACAATGCCTAACTCAGGCAAGTGTCAGGCAAGTGTAACAGGTCTGCCTTGGCCAGTCTAGTCATCTAATAATGCACAAATATCACATAGAGAAAACATACAAAACCAAATTAATAGTCAAAATCCATCTACCAGAAAATGTGGACATAAAGTTATGACTGATGATTAGGCTGACACCCTTGTTATGTCTGACCTTATCTTTTTCTAAGTGTTAACATTTATAAAAATAAATCTGAGATGCACACAACAAAAAGAGGTCATATTTGGACAAGTATAATGAAAGTATATTTATTTTGAAATGGCATGTTTTACTGACAATAGCTAATGCTGTATGAAACAATTACACATCAAACATTACTTATACAGTTTAGGATCTCCTCACAATACTTTATTTTTTTTAAAAAAAACCAGCAAATTGAAAGAAACTGAAAAACTTTTCCTAAAACTTTTTCTATGGTTTTCTCATTTCTTTCATAATGCTGTTTCTCTAACATCAAGCAAAGAATGCAGTCAGAGAAGTAAACAGAACACTGCTTATAGCACCATAGTATATCTCTCTTACAGAACTTACTCCACTGGAATTCCTTCCTTTGGTTTATCTCAAACTCACTTCGCTATCTGTTTTGGTACAATATATAAAACATCATTACTTTGCTTGCAGTTCATAATTAGATCTGTAGGAGCTCCCTATGACATTCTTGAGGTTCTATAAATTCATCTGTTGTATTTAGTTTAATGAAAAATGTGTCTGAACGTTTTTCTAATACTAGTTATTTTGTAGGTAAATATTCTAAAACACATAACTAAACTGCAATAAAAGTATTTAAATTTTCATGTTAAAAAATGGTATAACTCTGTCTCAAAATGGTATTAAAAATATTCAAAAGCTAGTATAATGTGCATTTATTCATCTCTATCAATTAAAACAAACAAAAAAAGGAACCTCTACCTGCCCATAACCTTGAAAATTTATGACGAATCACAGTCAGGGCTTCTCAAATACTATATTAAAAAATTCTATGGGACTCTAGTAAGGTTCCACAAAGCAACAACTGATCAAATTCTTCCTTCTAATTCAGTAATGAGCCAACAGAATATAAGATCCTGTGCTGCTGGTGGCATATTTTTATGATATAATTTTTCATTTGATAAGCCTTCTGCCTGATTTTTCCCCCCCATGAAGCTTACTTAGTGTGAAACTGGTATGAACTTGGTATACAGAACTAAACTATTACCAGCTCTTTCTCACCTGGCTCTCCAATTTTAGGCTAATTGTCCCTTTACAGATCAGCAGATAAGGATAGATTTAGCAAATTATTAACCTGAATCCATTTTTATTCTCCCCACCCTACTCTAACCCCCAGGCATAGGAAAAATACTTTCAAATTTATCTGAAAAAATCCAGAATGTTTATTCTGGGACTTCAAAAACAAAAGAATGATTCTTGCTGTATCTGAATAATGTTTTTGGCATCTCAGAATAGCATTCTGAAATAAGCATAAAACCTTTAAAGCACAGCAAACTGTTTACTATACATTAAGTTATTTTAATGTTAGCCTGGTTTTTAAAAGAGGTTTTAAAACATTACATATGAAAGTATATTAAATTGTTCCAGATAAAATTTTTATGTTGTAAAGTTACTACCATCCACCAGTGAAAATACATTTTAAAGACATTTAAATTATAACCCAATTCTAAAATCCACGTACACATGCCATAGTCAGTGCTCTGAATAAAAGTTAATTACACACCAGAACTGTCAAATTCGGCACAGCTTATTATATGAGTGGCTCTGTAAATAGAAGTTACTAAAAAATAAATATTAGTAATAATTAGCTCTTAAAGCAGGTTAAGCCATAAAATTTAACGAGTAACTATAAGGCCTCAGCCTTGTTCACATCTTCAACAACTATTTCTTTGATAGAAGAAATTTGCTTTTCATGATTTTTCTCCAATTACACCTCCCCCCATAAAGGAGCCAGAAGAAAAAAGTAAATTCCAGTTGCATAGCAAACAATTACACTGAATATGAAATAATGGTTTCAGTAACAAGGTAAAGTACCTTAAGAGAATACTTTAAAGCTTCAACTATGAATGTTTTTCTCATAACCATAAATATCACTTAACCCCAGTTTGGCAAAATGTGTACATTTTTTATTACGTAATATCCCTAATATTGTATACAGAGAAAAGTGCTTATTTATTTACACATTTAAATTAATTTCCCCAAACAACCCCTCCCTCTTTTTCCCTCCAGAAAGCTTTCTTTACAAATTGCAAATTAACTACAGAAAGCCTAAGCACACGGGAGAAAACAATTTATAAATTTTTTTAATGTTTAACTATTTTTCAAACTTATGTTAAGTAAAAAACAATTTTAATATATTTTATTAGTAAAAATGTTTTCCTTCTCCAAATTTCATTCTCACATACACACAGACGCGTGCGCGCACATGCGCACGCCAGACGACTATCTAATGTCAATTTTTATGAAAGCCAAAGGTAGTTAACAGACAGTACAGAGAATAAAACAATAGGAAAAAAACATATGAAATACCAACCTTCTGCACAAGGAACAACTATCAGAGCTCTGTCAATAAAAACCGTGTTAGTTAGATGCTGGGCCACGCCAACACTCGCTCGGTCACGAAACTTAACATAACATACTTTGGAAGAAAAAGCAAGAGGTGCGTTGCTGCAAGATAAAAAGAAAAACAATTAGACACACATCTGGCTGTTTTTGTCGTGTTCGCTAAAAATTTTTCTTAGGTCTTTACATAATCAAGATTTACAAAGTTTGTTGTTAAAGATCATTAAGACACGAAATAGCAAAACGTACTCTTTTAATGGTGATCTGTCTGCAAAGACTGGTGGCAATCTAAGCAGCCCTTTAGGGTTATTTGTAAAAACTTTAAATTTGAATTTTAAAACTTTACATTTAAATTCTTAATCTGGGCAAAATGTGAAAACAGCTGCTTAACCCAAAGATGCTGAACCAGTGTATAAATAGGCAAAATCTGTTTATCCTCAAGACTTAAAATTTTGTAACCACTTCTAACCCCTCCCTGGCACATTTGTTTAAAAACTTCGTAACACTGAATTAAAATTGACGTATTGTGCATATACTAGACTATTTCAGGCTAAGCAGCAGCATTATGATTTTCCAGACAAAAGATTCCACAAACAAAATTTTACATATTATATGCAGAAGTGCAAAGACTCTTACAAGTCCTACTAGGTTTAGTTCAGTATAGGCAGGCCTATAGTAAAAAAGAACCAGACAAAGCACAGATTGAAGCAATTTTTCCATAATATGAATCCATCTTGTTAGATTGAAAAATACACTATCCTCAAGGATGATCATTTCGTCAGCCTGTCCATAATTATTTTCAATTAAAGTCTTTAATTATCTTTAACAAGGGAAAAAAGACCCAAACAAAATATATAGCTAATACACAACATAAATGCACAATACTTTAAAAATATTAAGATTTTTCACACCAAAAAAGAAAAGGTTATTTGAAAAATATCATATATGCCTGTGCAATGACAGCAATTTAGCTCACAAAACAGGTCAAGGAAGTTGACCATAATCCTAGATCTAGTAAATGGCAAATCTGGAACTTGAAAGTCTAATCACCTAATTCCAAATTTCAAGCAACCTTTACCATACAACTAATCAAGAATTTTAAAGCAATCTTAATGTACTATTTAATTAGTAATTTCACAAATATTCATAACTTTTAAAATAAAAAAATCTTTCACATATACCAGCAAATCCACTTGATAATGGTTAAATATATATATTTATGCTATTAACAAAAAACTCCGATAAAACGTTTTCACTTAGAACTTGAAATTATTTATATTATTATTAACATTACTAGGCTAATTAAAGTTGCAATAAATAAATAAATAAAGCTCCACCTCTTTCTCACCCAACCCAACTCGACTCACCCCTGCCCAACGCCATCCAAATTCAGGCTCCAGGTCAGGCCAGCCCACCCCCACCCTGCCACGGCCACCACCACTCGACGTCTAAGGCAATCGCTTCATGTATTTGTCACTGAGGTAATAGCCTTCACATTCAGAGTTAACTCACCTTTCTATTATATTACCAAGTCTCCAACTTAGGCCTCTCCTAGCTCTACACTCCCAGTTCCAAGCGCCTGCTGGAATTTACCCCTTTATCGTCACCAGATTTACACTCAACTTATTAAGTCCTAAAATTCATCATTCTCCATCAGAAGTCCTGCCATTGTCCTATACGTCATATCTCAGTTAAAGATACCACATTACCCAAGTGAGAAATCTGGGCGTCACTAATGTGAACACCATTAGCACTATTCACCAAATATTTACAAATCTCCTTCTGGCTACATGGTAAAATTCCATTTCTTTTTCCTTGAAGTGTAGCCATGCAGAACTGCTGTCATATACTATCTGGTAGCTTTAAGGGTCATTGCTCAGCTCTCTTCCTGTGCCACAGTGACCAGCAACACTCGAAAGATGGGTGCCTGATACATCAGCTTCATCTCAGAGTGAGTGGCCACAGTGAGTCGAGTTCCCCACCCTACCAGTTTAGTATAAGAAATCATCTTTTTAAAATCAAGCTCCTGAGATTTGGGGGTTGTTTCCCTCCTTCACCTGTCCCTCTTCTTCATACAATTGTTCATTAAATCCTATGAAGACTGCCCCCCACGTACGTGTCGCATTGATTCAGGCCCCTCGTTTCTCATCTGTATTACTACAATGACTCCTCACCCATCACACTGCTCCAATCTCAACTCCTTACTAATGGTCTTCCACAAAAGCTGCCAGAGTGATCTTTCTAAACCCTAAGTTTATGTCATTCCACTGCTTAAATTTCCTCAAAGACACCCTCTGTTCTTGCTTTATCATCTAAATGCACCCCAAAATCCAGGCATAAAAATACTGTGGTTCCCAGAACACATCCTGAACATCTGGGCCATCGCTGTGTACGTTGTCCCATTTGCTCATGATAACTCCCTTTTTGAATAGTAACTCATTTTTCTTCAAGGCTCAAGTATCCTGGAAAGCCATTTTAAGATATCCAAGCAATTAGGTACCCATCCTATCCATATGTGGTACCAAAACTTTCTACATACTTTCCCAAAGGACTTGTCAGTTTCCTCAGTGAAACCCTCAGCAGATGTAAGCTTCTAGCCACAACTGGTTAGCCTCATGGTACCAGGGCCCATTCCACTGGCTAACGGGCAACCTGTAATTTGGGCGCCTTGAACAAATTAACCGGCAACAGATTCTCTTTCTTTTGCCTGGAAAGTCACTTAAGAGTCAGGGCCTGGGCCAGGTGCCAAATGAGTGAGTAGAGAATTGGTCAGTAAAGAAATTGAGCAGATACACAGAAACCAACAGGCTGACAAGGCCTCTAAGAAGAGGCTTTGTACCTTGGACGCTGAAACCCTTTTGGTTCAGTCCCTGGTCCCATGAGGCCTGGCTGTACTATAGTCCTAATTCTCCAATTTAGTGAAATCTCCCTCTTTTCAATGTCTCTTCTTGAGCTAGGTTGCACAGTACTGTTTCTGTCTTTTGCAACCAAAAAAATATATTTAAAAATCTGATTACAATCAGCTACTAAAGCCCTAGCAACTGCAACACGTATACTCTCTTTTAGGACTGAAATCTAAAACCTGACAAACCACCACTGAAACTGCATTTCCCAAATTGACAGATCTTTTCGAGAAAGAATGAAAACCTAAATAATCACTGTTAAAAACTAAAACACATTTCCAAATACTCTGTTTGAAACCCTTATCACTCCAAATTAGAAAATGTGAGCTTGGTTAGTAAAGCAACTACATGTTAAGACCTGCCACCAAGATTTGAGAAGCCCAGGAATGGCTTTAAAACCTCTGGTCTACTCTGAACTGCACTATCCTAGAAGCATGGGTCGTGGACAGGGCTACACCACTGCTGTAAGCAATTTTCTTCACCTACAAAGGTAAACACCTGAGCTTTTCAAGAGAGGTAGTGACACTGTTTTACTTTGAACACTACAGGCTTACGATACAGTGGCAAGCGCAAATACAGATGATTAGTATCTCAGTAAACAAGTGTATTTATTTATTTATAAGTTAGTATATTTCCAAATCTTATATTTGAAGCTTTCTCTCTAGGTGAAACAGGGGGTAAATGATGATGAAAAAATAAAATAAAATAATTAAGCTTTCTCTCTAGTATATCTAAGCTATCAAATAGATTCAATTTTTTAAATTGAATAGGATTATCACTTTATAATGTAATTTTGACCTACAGTTTTAATTTCTGAAAGGTTACATATTCCATTTAGTCTAAATGTATGCCTCTAAAGAAAGTAGCAAGTATCCAAATAGCATCTTACTTCGTTTGTTGAATTGTTTTGTTTTTTAAAGTCAGAATTTCTGAGTTTAATGCAGAAATCACAAAACCAACTTTCTGACCATAATTTAAACTTCCTGGGCCCTAACTGGTTATTTTGTTTTTCATTAAATATGGTGACGACACTGAACATTTTTTTTTAAAAAGCAATGTGGTAATAATATATCCAATATTTTATTATATTAATACATACCCTTTGAGGATATATCACCAAAGACATAATCCAAAACATGAACAAAATATATAGTTTTATGTATGAAAATACTGACACGTTACTCAGTAGGGTTCCAGTGGTACTCTGTATGGCACAACTCTTCCTTGTATAAGACTTTCTAATATGAATGACTGACACTATCCAATAAATGCCAGAAGGCCCTCCAATCATTGTAGACAATCAAAAGTACACATCTCAAATCTTGCTTCTACATAAACCCACTGACTTACACACACACACCAAAACCAAAAAAGTAGCCAATATATCTCCGATGATAGAATTTCAGTGACACAAACACTTAGGACACATTAGTCTGTAAATATTACTATAAATAAAACATAACAATATGAAAAATGTTTATAGGTTGAGTGTAATACTTTACAATCATGGTGTATAAATCCTTTGACCACATCATAATAAAATAGACACATCAAAAGGACTTGAAGGAAAACACATGGAAATGGAAAGAGGTTTTGATAGGGTGGTAGGATCACAGGTGGTGTTTCTTTTTCTCTATTTTTCATAAAGTGACTATATTGGTTACATTATTTAACTAAATAAACATAAGTAGATGACAGGTTTTGCCTTTCTTACTAGTACTTTTGAAGACCAGAGAAGAAAAGAAAACAGCAGGCAATCAATCAAGTGTTGATGTTAGAAATGGTGTTAGAAATGAGGATAGGATTACCCTTTGAAGGGAGGCACAGTAAAATCTCTAGGGTGTAGACAATTCTGATCTGGGTGCTGGTTACACAGATATGTTCACTTCGGTAAGTGCACTTTTTCTGTATGCACATTATACCTCAATAAAAAGCTTGCTGCAAAGATTTCTTACTGTAACACTAAAATGTTAATGACAAACTACTTTCAC